TGAGGCCCTGGGTTCAATTCCTCAGCACCACATAAGCAAAAAGAAAAAAAAGCTGGAAGTGGCGCTGTGGCTCAAGTGGTAGAGCGCTAGCCTTGAGCTGAGGAGCTGAGGGACAGTGCCCAGGCCGAGTTCAGGCCCCATGACCGGACCCAAAAAAAGAATAAAATATTAGAGCCCGGCACCAGTGATTGATGGTTCATGCCTGTAATCCTAGCCACCCAGGAGGCTGAGATCTAAGAATCACAGTTCAAGGCCAGCCCATCTTTATTTCACAGAAAGAAGCTAGAAGTGGTATTGTAGTTCAAGTGGTAGAGCACTAGCCTTGAGTAAAAAGGAGCTCAGGGGGACTGTGAATGTGGCTTAGTGGGAAAGTGCTTGCCTAGTATGCATGAAGCCCTGGGTTTGATTCCTCAGTACCACATAAACAGAAAAAACCAGAAGTGATGCTGTGGCTCAAGTGGTAGAGTACTAGACTTGAACAAAAGAAACTTAGGAACAGTGCCCAGGCCCTGAGTTCAAGCCCCAGGACCAGCAAAAAAAAAAAAAAAAAAGGATCTCAAGGACAGTGCCCAGTCCCAGAATTTGAGCCCTAGAAACAGCATTTTTTTTTAAAAAAAGAAAAGAATAAAACACTGGAAGTGGAGGTGTGGCTAAGCAAGATCAAGCAAGAGGTTCTGAGTACTGGAAAACACACAAAAAGAATGAATAAAATATTTAACCAAGAGGCAAAAGACATATTGACAGCATTAGGTAGGTGGTGCATACCTATAATCTCAGCATCCAGGAGGAGGAGACAAGAAGATCAGAAAGTTTGAGGCCAGCCTGTGCTATAAAGTCAGACCCTGTTTCAAAAGAAGAAAGAAGGCAAGAGGGAGAAGAGAGCAGGGAGGAAGGAGGAGGAAGGAAGAAGGAAAGAGGAAGATAGGAGATTGCCACAGGCCAAAAATGGGGCCTTGTGTCATGTGAGTGGAGTGCATCACCAGAAGTGGAATGACCAAACATCCGGGACTCTCTTTACTCCAGGACTCTCCCTCCAAGAGAACACGGTGTCAGCACTCCCAAACTTTTAATCAGTAGGCCCTAAAGAAGCTTATTTCTTTTTATTTGGTGATACTGGGGTTTGAACTCAAGGCCTCACACTTGCCAGTCATGTGCTCTAATGCTTAAGCCATATCCCTTCCATTTACTTTATTTTGTTTTTCAGATAGGACCTTGTGCTTTTGTAAGAATTAGCCTTAGACCAGATTCTCCTATCTTTGCTTGTTGAGTAGCTGGGTTTACAGGCATGGACCACCAGGCCCAGCTTCTGACCGTGGTTATTCTCTCTCTCCTTCCCTTTAAACATACCTCCTGGAAACTGAGGAAGCCATTCAGGTCCCACCTGAGCCCTCTGAGATCACAAAGAAGCCCTTGAAAGAGCAATTCCTAGGAGCTAGGAGCCCTGGGTCCCTCTGGGTTCATAGTTGCCAGCTCCCTGTTCCCCTCCTCCTTTGCTCTACAGATGGCACCGCAATTCTGTGGCTCCTTGGGCTCCCTCTGGGATTGCCTGGTGGCAGACAAGCAATGTGGTGCCATGCAGATGGGCCTGGCCTAGGGTGCCCTGGCTGGGTAATGGCTAACTTTGGAGTCTCCCCCCCGCCTGCTGATGCCTGTCTCCCCCAGGCCTGGCTGACTCTGCCTCCTGGGTGTGGCTGTGGGGCCATCCCCGAACACATACCCTCAAGGTCTCTGTATTCCGATGCATTAAGTAGGCCACCACTGCTGCACAGCTGCGACTGATGCCCAGGGTAGAAAAGACCAGAATGGCAGATTTAAGCTGAACGTGAATTTCTGCAGAAGGAAGGAAGGGGGTAGGTTATACATGGCCCCCTTCCCTGAGGATCTGGATGGTGGGTCAGCAGAAGTCTGGACGGAGAGGGGGTTCACAGGACTGGGTGCAATGACTCATACTTGTAGTCCCAGCACTCAGGAGACTGAGGGCCAGAGGACAGAGTTCAAGGACAGCCTGCAATACTGCAAGAGTCTCAGAAACCTCAGGCTGGAGGTGGAACTCAGTGGTAGAGCACTTTGTATGGTGTACAAGGCCCTCTGGCATCTCCAGAACTACACACAAAAAAAGAGAGGAATCTATGACCAGCTCACCAAGTGCTAGGCAAGCCACGTGCCCCTCTTCTGGAAAAATGGGTCCTTGGGAGCTAGGCCTGGTTGTGCATGGCAGTAATCCCAGCTACAAGGGAGGCCCAGGTAGGAAGATCTTGGTCTGAGGTCAGCCCTAGGTAAAAATGCAAGACCCTGCCTAAAAAAATAACGGAACCAAAAGGGCTAGGAATGTGGCTCAAGTGGTAGAGCCCCTGCCTAGCAAGCCCTAGGCTCTTGAGTTCAAACCTCAGTACCACAACCACAAGAACAACAAGAAAGATTTTCAACCTGACTGGCAGTTCCAGAGAATTGCCAGGCTTCCAGCAGTCCAGGCTGGGGTGTTTCCTGGCTTGCACAGGGTGCTCAGGCACTGGCAGAGGCCGTGTGCAGCCCGGTGCATACTGGCTTCGTTACTGAGGGGGGCAGGTAACAGCAAAGTATCTAAGCCACAGTCCTCACCTAGGGAGGGGGGGGACGGTGCAATACTCCTTCCCCATGGGGCTGGACACTGAGCCTATTGGTGGGCACAGATACATCCATGACAGGGCTATGGTGAGACTCAAGGTAGCAGAGTACTTGCCTAGCAAGTGTGCAGGCCCAATCCCAGGAAGGGAGAAAGGGAGAAAAAGGAAGAGAATGATCTGCCATAACCATGTAAATCTCCAGGCTTTATGCTGCCCATTGAGAAGGTAGGAAGCTTAGGCTGGCCAGGTAATCCCCGGCAACGGAAGCCACACACCAAGTCACAGACTGTCTGAGCTGGAGGAAACCGAGGTACAAAGCATGGAAGCACTGGCTTCCAAGCCCCAGCGCTGGGGCCCGGGGTAGGGCCTCAGGCCTCAGGCCCTGCCGTCTCAAACAGGACAAAATTAGTCTCAGCTTCTCATCTTAGGCAGGTGACTCTGGGGATCTGCTGGGCAAATAAGGGGTGGCTGGGCCCCAGTGCCGTCTCCAGCCCCTCCCGCAAGGCTCAGGCCAAGGGGTCTCATGGTCACCAACCAGGGCTAACTTGCCTCAGCTTTGTGAGGTGCTGGGATTTTAAATCACACTTGCTAGGCAGGCATTGCACCACTTGGGTCACACACAGCCCTTCTGCTTTTGTTTATTCTTTAGGTAGGGTCTTGTGTTTTTGCCTGGACTGGCCTCAGACTATGATCCTCCTATCTATTGCCTCCCATCTAGCTGGATTCTGAAAAGTACAAACTACCACATTGAGTGTATTGATTGCGATGGGGCCTTCATAACCTCCTGCCTGGGTTGGCCTCCACTGGCCACCCTCCCAATCCCTGCTTCCCAAGTAGCTGGGATTGTAGGCGTGAACCACTGTGCTCTGCCTCACCATCCTACCCTTGTTAGGCAGCTGATAGGCATCACTTGTGTGATGGGAAGAAAAGGGGGAAGAGAGTGTCCACCTGGAGAATCATGGGAATTAGGGTTGGGATTTAGGGTCCTCCACCCCACCCAGCTGGGCAGAGCTCAGGCAGGGCCTGGCCAATGCCCTCATTTTATCACGGCTTCTGAAGAGCCTGGCAGTCTAGTGGGGGCCAGAACACAGGGCGCTCAGCCCACGGGCAGTGCTTGCCTGGACCCCATTGCTCCCATGGTAGACCTACGGTTGCCTCTACATATGTGAGCCTCATGCAGGGCATGGCCACTCTGGGCCATGGCTGTGTCAGGGATGGGCGTGGACAGGGGACCGGAAATTCTCCTTACCCAGGAAATGACAGATGGGGCGCAGGAAAGGGATGATGTTGGCCTCTGGATCGTCTTCTATCTTCACATGCAGAAGGTAATCTGGGTCCTCCTGGAAACTGCAGAGAGACCCACATGCTGGCCCATGGACCTGCACACAGCCCACCCTGTCTGCTGCACTGAAGCTCCACTTGTGGCTTTTTTTGAGTGGTTTATTGGAAATAAGAGTCTCACGGACTTTCCTGCCCAGATTGTTTTTGAACAGCAATCCTCAGATCTTAGCCTCCTGAGTAGCTAACAGGCATGGGCCACAAGCACCCAGAATTTATATTCTCATTAATCTCCCTCCTTAAAATTTTATTCTCTTTCCTTAGACACTATGTATTTCTTCTTATTTCTTCTATTTCTAGGAATCTCCTTTTTTCCCCTTCTCATTGCAAGTTATCTCTACTTTCTGTTAGTGATTGTGGTTTTTCTTTTTTTTCTTTTTCTTTTTTGTTGGTCATGGGGCTTGAACTCTGGGCCTGAATGCTGTCCCTTAGCTCCTCAGCTCAAGGCTAGTGCTCTACCACTTGAGCCACTGCACTGCTTCTGGTTTTCTGAGTGGTTTATTGGAGATAAAGAGTCTCACGAACTTTCCTGCTCGGGCTGGCTTTGAACAGGGATCCTCAGATCTCAGCCTCCTGAGTAGCTAGGATTACAGGAGTAAGCCACCCGCACATGTCTCTCTTTTTTTTTTCTTCTTTTTTTTGGGTTGGTCATGGGGCTTGAACTCTGGGCCTGGGCATTGACCCTCAGTTCTTCAGCTCAAGGCTAGCGCTCTACCACTTGAGTCACAGCACCACTTCTGGCCTTTTCTGCTTATGTGGTACTAAGGAATTGAACCCAGGGCCTCATGCATACAAGGCAAGCGCTCTACCACTGAGCCATCTTCCCAGCCCCCTTTTTGTTCTTTTTTTGTGGGGCTTGAACTCTGGACCTGGGCACTGTCCCTGAGCTCTTCAGCTCAAGGTGAGTGCACTACCACTAGAGCCACAGCACCACTTCCTGTTTTCTGGTGTTTACTTGGAGATAAGAGTCTCACAGAGTCAGGTGCTGGTGGCTCATGTCTGTAATCCTAGTATTATTTTGTTACCAGATGCCTCCCTAAATTCTTGTATTGTTTTCCTAAGTTCTGCCTGAAGCAAGCCATTTCAGCTTTGAGCAGGAGCTGGCAGAGGCTTTCCTGAATGCTAGACAGTGACAAATGTCTATGAATATGTCCAAGTTTCTGTGCGTCTCTGTGTTTCTATTTGTCTCTGTGTTTCTGTCTCTGTGTATTTGTGTCTGACTGTGTGTCTCTGTGCATGTCTTTTTTTTTTTTGGGGGGTCCGGTCATGGGGCCTGAACTCTGGGCCTGGGCGCTGTCCCTCAGGTCTTCAGTTCAAGGCTAGCGCTCTACCACTTGAGCCACAGTGCCACTTCCGGCTTTTTTCTTTTTGCTTATGTGGTGCTGAGGAATGGAACCCAGGGCCTCAGGCATGCAAGGCAAGCACTCTACCACTGAGCCACCTTCCCAGCCCTGTCTCTGTGCATGTCTATGTGTGCATGTGTCTGTGCATTTCTGTGTGCATGTCTGTGTCTCTGTGTACGTATCTCTGACACTAGGTCATTTCAGGGTGACTGGCACCATGCTCTTCAGTGCAGGAGGGCCCCACAAGCGGGGGAGGATGCCAATCCGAGACTGGCACAGGAGATGACCAGTAAAGCCTGCTCCAGCGCGTGCTGACTGAGCCCTTAAGAAGGGCTGGGGCTGGGTGGGAAGGAGTGATACACTCTGAGATAAAAGCCGGCAGCTGGTCTACCACTTACAAAGGTGTGGACTCCATGCTCACGTTGACATGGGCTTTGATTTTCAGGTCCTTCTTGATCTTGGGGTCACAGGCCTGCTTGTAACTGCCCAGATAGATGTGGCCAGGCACGATCTCAATCGGGTAGGGCTCAAAGGCCTCGAGCTCCTGGGTGTGAAAGGATGAGGGCTGCTGGGCCAGGGATGCGGGGAGGCAGAGGATGCTTCAGAGCGGTGCTGAGCCACAGAGGGCAGGGCCCGCTCCACAGTGCCCTGGTCCAGGGCTGGAGCATGTCAGGTGCGGACTTCTGATGAACATCATTGTGTAGAGGGGTCCAGGTCAGCCCAGAGGCAGGCCTGGCTGTTCCCAGAGCCCTCGGCAACAGAGGGCACAAGGGAAACCATGAGTGGGGCCCAGAGAAACTCCCAGGAGAGGCCAACAGCACTGCGCAGAATCACACGGGACTAGAATGAGCACAGCCCTCCACCTTCTCTTCACCCCAGCCAGTCACACAGAACCCCCGTGCTGGGCCCCCCAACACTGAAGTGGCTAGAAGAGGGGAGGAGAGGTCCTACAGGAGGGACACCTACAGCTGACACCGCCCCCACCCCAACTCCACATCTCCCAGGGAACCCAGAGCTAGCTCTGGGGGATGAGAGGAGAGATTTGGCCTGATTCTGCCCCACTGGCTTGGAAAGTGAGGCCAGGTGATAATGAGTTCAAGGCCAACCTGGGTTAGAAATTAAGCCTGTTTCAAAAACCCTATCTACAGAAGTGGCTCTGTGGCTCCAGTGGTAGAGCGCTAGCCTTGAGCTGAAGAGCTGAGGGACAGCGCCCAGGCTCAGAGTTCAGGCCCACGACCAACAAACAAATCAAAACAAAACAAAAAACTACATATATATGTATATGCACACACATATACATGTATATGTATATTCCATATAAATACTACATGGCACAGTATAACAATCCCTCTTTCTACTTCCCAGCTGCCAATTCATTCATGGCCAAATTTGTTTCATTAGAAATCCTAATTCCATCTATAAATATTTCATTCTGGATATATATATATATATTTTTCTAGTCCTGGGGCTTGAACTCAGGGCCTTGGCACTGTCCCTGAGCTTCTTTTGCTCAAGGCTAGCACTCTACCACTTGAACTATAGCACCACTTCCAGCTTTTTCTTGTCTATGTGGTACTGAGGAATCAAACCCAGGGCTTCATGCATACTAGGCAAGCATTCTACCACTAAGTCACATTTCCAGCCATATATATGGCTGTGTCAGATAGATAGATAGATAGATATCTGACATAGCCCCTGACCACCCCTAGATCAAGGGCTCCCCAGTCACCACAAGGCTGTTATCCTCTAGATCCAGCTGGGGTTTAGGGAAATCCACAGCCGAGCATAGAGAGGCCCCTCACCTGCCTTGGCACACATCCCACCCCCTGCTCCATCTCTGGTTCAGTCCTCAGGCTATGAGTCCACCATGGTGAGACGGACCCCCGGCTGTCCCCAGGGCTTGCCAAGGCTGCACCTCACCCCTGCCCTTGTCCCAGCCAAGCCAGCCTGTGCTCACCTGGGGCATCCAGATGATCTTCTGGGTACGGAGGAAGTGGTAGAGGCTTGTGAAGTGCTCATAGCCACCTCTCAGGACGTAGACTGGGTAGCGGGTAAGGTGAATGAGGACCCGACCAAACTGCACAGCAGGCCCGGGCTCCAGTTCTAAGAGTGGAGAGCACAGAGGCCAGCATCCCTATGTGCCCAGAGCTGTTCCTGTCACCTCTTCCTGAAAAGCATTCCTTAGGAAGCTGGAGCCCGGCAGGTAGAGAGGGACATGCTACAGTTGAAGTAAAAAAGTGAGCTAAGCTGATGGCTCACCACTGTCATCCTAGCTACTTAGGATACTGAGATCTGAGGATTGTGGTTCAAAGCCAGTCTGGGAAGGAAAGTCCCTGTGAGACTCTTATCTCCAATTAAACACTCAAATACCACAAGTAGTGCTGTGACTCAAAGTGGTAGAGTGCTAACCTTGAGCAAAAGAACTCAGGGACAGTGCCCAGGCGCTGAGTTCAAGTTCTACAACCAACAAAAAAGTGGGCTGGGTGCATGGCTCAGGTGGTAGAGCCAAAGCCTGGCATGGGGAAACTAAATTCAAACTCTGGTACTGTCAATAGAGAAATAAACATTCCAACAACTGTTTAACAAGTAGATGGACATTTTTCCATGTAAATACATACATACACACACACACATGTACACACATATGCCATATGCTGTATGCCAATCAAGCATACAATTCTGTGCTCTTCAATATATTCAGTGTCAGAGCACTTATCTAATCACCAACCGCCACACTCACAAACAACCCTGCCAGCATTTCCAGGCCCTTCTCCATTTTCCCTAAGCTCCCAGCTTCTCTTAATGTCAAGTTCTAGTTAAGCACAGATCTTTTTGGTGGTGGTTATCATCATGGGACTTGAACTCTGGGACTGCGCAATGGCCCTGAGCTCCTCAGCTCAAGGCAAGTGCTCCATTTGAGCAAGAACACCACTTCCAGTTTTCTGGTGGTTAATTGGAGATAAGAGTCTCAGGGACTTTCCTGCCTGGGCTGGCTTTGAACCTCAGTCCTCAGATCTCAGCCTCCTAAGCAGCTAGGATTACAGGTATGAGCCACCAGTGCCCAGCAATACCTCATCATTTTCCATGTGGCTCTACCATTTCACATGCTGGCCAGAAACTTGGGACAGTTCCAGTATCTCCACACTTCCTCCAACAATTGTTAGCATCTTTTAAAAAAATTTATTATGCCCAACCTAGGAGGAGTAAAGTGTTGCTTCATTGTTTTGTTTTTGCAAAAGGGTCTCATTATGTCTTCCAGGCTAGCCTTGAACTTGTGGTCCTCTGGCCTCAACTTCTAGAGTACCAGGGACTACAGGCGTGTACTGCATCCTGAATCTCACTGTGGATTGGTCATTGCCTTCCCTGATCTGTAGAATTCCAAAGACTAGGTGCAGAGCTAAGCATCAGCCCACAACCCTGGATCCAACCTGTGGCATGGCTGAGGAGGAGGAGGAGGAAGAAGAAGAAGAACAGCACAGGAGTGGAGGAAGACCAGCCTCCCAGGCCCTGCCCTGCCATCTGCCAAGGGGAGGCTCAGCAGTAGCCACCCATCACCAGAAATAATGAAGTTCATGCTTCTCAATTTGCTCACTTTGACCCCCATTGAGTGCCAGTTCTTCATTGCTGGGAGCTTGCATTCATTACTTCAGCAGGAGGGGAAACAAAACAGCAAGGAGGCCCTGTTTAAGGGATGGAGGGGACTTTAGGTCAGGTGGTTTTGTTGTGTTTTGTTTTGGCCAGTCCTGGGGCTTGAACTCAGAGCCTGGGCACTGTCCCTGAGCTTCTTTTGCTTAAAACTAGTGCTCTACCATGTGAGCCACAGTGCCACTTCTAGCTTTTTCTGTATATGTGGTACTGAGGAATCGAACCCAGGGCTTCATCATACTAAGCAAGCACTCTAGTATGTAGCCATTTAAGTCAGATTTTTTTTTTGTCAGTTGTGGGGCTTGAACTCTGGTCCCTGGGTGCTGTCCCTCAGCTCTTCAGCTCAAGGCGAGCAGTCTACCACTTGCGCCACAGTGCCACTTCTGGTTTTCTGGTGGTCAATTAGAGGTAAAAGTCTCACAGACTTTCCTGCTGGGGCTGGCTTTAAACTACAGTCCTCAGATATCAGCCTCTTGATTAGCTAGGGTTACAGGCATGAGCCCCTGGCACAAGGCTTTAAGTCAGATTTGAGATTCCTCACTAGCCAGGTCTCATGAAAGGCAGGCTTTGCTGACAGTGGGATAATGTTTTCCCAGATTTCCCAAGCTTCTTTTCCTATGTCAAAAACTTGGCCAGGCCAGGCACTGGTGGCTCATGCCTGCAAGTCCAGCTACTCAGGAGGCTGAGATTGGGGAATTGTTTGAAGCCAGCCCTGGCAGAAAAGTCCATGGGACTCTTATCCCCAATGTACAGCACCCACCCAAAAAAAGAGAGAACTGAGGAGGAGCTTGAGGTCTTGTTCAAGCCCCAGTACTGACACAAAAGACAAAAACAAAAGCAAAAACACCCCAGCTTGAACAGATTGGGAACCTGTGACCCATATTGCTTAAGGAAGGATGGACACAGGGTATTTCATAAAAGAAAGAAGGGGTGCCAGGCACTGGTGGATGGTGCCTGTAATCCTAGCTATTCAAGGGGCTGAGATCTGAGGATGGAGGTTCAAAGCCAGTCCAGGCAGGAAAACTGGAAGTGGTGCTGTGGCTCAAGTGGTAGAGCGCTCGCCTTGAGCTGAAGAGCTCAAGGACAGCGTCCAGAGTTTAAACCGCACAACCGACAAGAAAGAAAAAAAAGGGGGTGCTTTTTAGCACTGCTTGGAGAAAGACTTCCAGAAACCAAGACCAAGGAAGCTATTTCCTGGTTCCTAAGACGCCAGGTGAGCCAGGTGAGGCATCTGTGTGCACACACATGTGTACAGGTAGCACGTGAAAACTTCTAGCGCCCATTTTCCCCAGGAATTCTGCAGCCCCCATGGTAGGCAGTGGTGTGTGAACCCCACTGAGGTGGGGAGCCCGGGCAGAAGGGAAGGGGGCGGGGTCCCCAAGGGCAAGGGCACTGCACCCCCGGGGTACAGGCCCACTCACCTCTCCCAGCAGTCAAGGGAGTTTTGGCTCTTGACACATTAAAGCCAGAGCCCATGGGGTGCCACCTCCTTGTTGGCTTATACGGCACACCCGTTCTGAGGCCACAGGCTTCCCCCAGGCCCACGGGTGCTTAACAATGGGGAAAGGGCAGTGGTCAGAGGAACTCCAACATGGTCTTGGGCCTAACAGATGTTGCATTTACTCAAAACATGCCATTTGAACTGAGGAAAATGCCTGGTATTCTCTGTGTGGTTTGGGGGTTCCTATCAAGTGAGAATGGGGCCCCACAAGGCCAGTGATGGAATGGATAGAGGATCCCAGGGTCCAATCTATGACCCTAGGACTGCAAGTGGGATTCCCAAGGGAAGGGCTCTAAAGCCAGAGGGCACTAGAGAGGGAAGCACAGGGAGAGCCTTGGCGCCACCCAGTGGCAGGCGCTGGGACTGCACCCTGGAACGGCATATGCCCCAGCCTCAGGGGCTGGAAGTGGTCAGTGGAGCCCCAGCCAAATGAGCACCTTGGAAGTGACAGTGTATGAACACTCAAGCCCCATGTGGCTTCCCCTCCAGCTCACTGCCTGGGTTTGAAAGACAGACCAGAGTCAAACTGCCTGGCTCCCATTCCGACTCTACCACCAAGCCCATGAGGAGGCTTGAAAATATGGCCACAGCCCAGTGTGATGGCTCATGCCTGTAATCCCAGCTACTCAGAGGTAGAGACAGGAGGCTCCAGAGTTTGAGGGTAGCCCAAAGCTAAAGTTAGCAAGACCCAAATCCGAAAACAAGCTGGGCATGGCAGCTACACATGGTAGTCCCAGCCACTGGAGTAGAGGAAGTGGGAGGACTGAAATCAGAAAACAAATTGGCAAAAGCATAAGAACCTATTCCAAATGCAAAAGGACACTGGGTACCGGTAGTTCACACCTGTAATCCTAGCTACCTAGGAGGCTGAGATCTGAGAATCACAGTTTGAAGCCAGCCTGGGTAGCAAAGTCTATGGAGCTGTGGGTCAAGAGGTAGAACACCAACCTTGAAGGAAAAAGCTGAGGCTGGGTGCAGGTGGCTCATGCCTATAATCCTAGCTACTCAGAGGGCTGAGATCTGAGGATCACAGTTCAAAGTCAACCTGGGCCATAAAGTCTGTGAGGCTCTTTCTTACTTCCAATAAACCACCAGAAAACTAGAAGTGGCGCTGTGGCTCAAGTGGTAGAGCGCTAGCCTTGAGCTGAAGAGTAGAGAGACAGCGCCCAGGCCCAGAGTTCAGGCCCCACAACTGACAAAAAGAAAAAGCTGAGATACCTTCCAAGCCCTGGGTTCAAGCCCCAGTACCTGTACAAAACCAGGGGAGGGCTAGGGTGTGGCTCTAGTAGCAGAGTGTTTGACCAGCATTGGCAAGGCCATCTGGGTTCAATAGGAAGGGAAAGAAAGAAAGGCCTGCCAGCCTCCATGGAGGGTGGGCTAGACTTTGTAAGGACTAAAACAGCCCAGATGAACAGGAAATAAAGGCCATGGCTTCCCCCTTATCTCTGGGCTCACTCAGCCTGGGGAAAACCAGCTACTGTGATTTCAAGTCAGCCTGGTAATTCCTAGGAACTGTGGAGTGGTGAGGAGCTGAGGCCTTCAGCCTCCAGCCAGAATGAAACGAAGGCCTCCCTGGGAGCTGAGGGAGGGAGTCATGTCAATGCTATCAGTCCTGGCCCAAAGACCCAGTGACAGCAGCTACAACTGACTTTTTTGGGGGGTTTTTTGTTTTTTTTTTTTAACTAGACCTGGGGCTTGACCTCTGGGCCTGGGTGCTGTCCCTGAGCCTCTGGGTGCTCAAGGCTAGTCCTCTACCACTTGAGCCACAGCACCACGTCCTGTTTTTTAGTGGTTAGTTGGAGATAAAAGAGTCTCACAGGTACTTTTCTGTCCAGGCTGGTTTTGAATTGTTATCCTCAGATCTCAACATCCTGAGTAGCTAGGATTACAGGTGTAAGCCACTGGTGCCCAGCAAGCTTCAAATTCTTGATGCTCCTACCTTTGCCTCCTGAGTGTTGGGATTATGGACGTGCTCCACCATGCCTGGCTGTTAAGTATTATTGTTGTCTGCTGTTAAAAAATACCCACCTGGGATATCTTCCTCCTCTTCACTCTCCTCCTCTTCTTCCTCCTCCTCCTCCTCCTCTTCTTCTTCCTCCTCTTCCTCCTCTTCTTCCTCGTCTACTTCACCCTCCTCTTTTGCTTCATCCACCTCATTGGCTTTGTCCTCATTTGCTTTGTCTTCTTTACCCTTTCTGTCCTTGCCCTTGTCCTGGCTGCTTCGGCCATGCTGCTGGCTGTGTCTCTTGAGTTTGGCCTTGAGCTTGTCTTTTCTGTATCCCTGTTTGGGTCTGAGGCGTACCTCCAGCGAGGTGGTGTTTTTATCATACACCACACAGTATCTCACACAGTCCAGATCCACGGACTCAGGGACGAGATACTGGTTCTCCTTCTAGGGAAGCAGAAAGGTGTGTGGTGGAGTCTGGCTGAACACACATTCCCCACACACCAGCGCCCCAAAAGGCCCTGCTCACTCTTATGGGCATGCAGCTGGGAGTACCTCTACTGCATTCAAGGGTCTCCCACAACCAAACCACCTTCTCAGCAGGACAAGCACAGCTACTGAAAGGCTGCTACATCAAGGGCCTAGCAGCCTTTCCCTACCTCTAGAGGAAAACACAGTGCCACAGAAAAAGCATAAATTGAGGACAGAGATTGGGCTCAAGGTTAGCCTGGGAAGGAAAATGTTGGCCAGACACATCTCATAAAAACAACAGAACATCAGCAACAACAACAAAAAAAAAACCAGGGCTGGGAAGGTGGCTGATGGTAGAGTGCTTGCCTAGCAAGGGTTGGATTCCTCAGTACCACATACACAGAAAAAAGCCAGAAGAGGCACTGTGGCTCAAGTGGTAGAGTGCTAGCCTTGAACACAGAGAGGTTCAGGGACAGTGCCCAGGCCATGTTCAAGCATCAGGACTGACAAAAAACAAAACAACAAAAAACTGGGCATGTGGATCATACTTGTAATCTCAGCTAGGCAGGAGGCAGAGATAGGAAGATCATGGTCCAAAGTCAGCCCTAAGCAAAAACTATGAGGCATTCACTGAAAAATAAACGAAAAGCCAAAAGTGCTAGAGATGTGGTAGAGTGCTTGTCTAGCAAGTATGACATCCTCAGTTCAAATCTTGGTACCACTGGCTTAAGGCCTGCTTGCTGAGTCAGTGGGAGCCGGGTGAGGGCAGGGACATGTTGTGGGAATCCTCAGGGCCTGTAACAGCGCCTTGCCCCGCAGGGAGTCAGGAGCTGCTCACCCTGAGGGAAGTGGTGGCACTATTGGAAATGGGGGGAGGTTGATGGGGGGGGGACTGCCACTGTGGATGCAGTGTCCCACAGGAGGTGCTGAGTCCTGGACTAAAGGCAAAACCCATCCCCCTTTCCCACCCTCCTGCAAGGCCGCCAGCTGGACCCCAAGGCTCTGACTGCAGCTGGATACCTTCTTCACCAGGATGGCCGTGATCACGTGACTCTCATCATATTCCTTTTTGGAACGAACATCTGCAAAGGAAAAATGTTCAGCTCAAAACTTGATTTGCAGGGCTGGGAAAGTGGCTCAGTAGTAGTGTGCTTGCCTTACATGTATGAGGCCCTGGGTTCAATTCCTCAGCACCACATAAGCAAAAAGAAGCCAGAAGTGGCACTGTGGCTCACGTGGTAGAGTGCTAGCTTTGAGCAAAAGAAGCTCAGGGACAATGCCCAGGCACTGGAACTGGGCACTGCCCCAGGACTGGAAAAAAAAAATTTTTTTTTGTTTTTTTTGTTTTTTTTTTTGTTTTGTTTTTGGGTCCGGTCGTGGGGCCTGAACTCTGGGCCTGGGCGCTGTCCCTCAGCTCTTCAGCTCACGGCTAGCACTCTACCACTTGAGCCACAGCGCCACTTCCGGCTTTTTTCTTTTTTCTTATGTGGTGCTGAGGAATTGAACCCAGGGCCTTGAGCATGCAAGGCAAGCGCTCTACCACTGAGCCACCTTCCCAGCCCCCAAAAAAAATTTTAAAAAGGGACCACACTAGCTGGGTGCCGGTGGCTCATACCTGTAATCCTAGCTACTCAGGAGGCTGAGATCTGAGGATCATGGTTCAAAGCCAGCCCAGGCAGGAAAGACCATGAGACTCCTATCTCCAATAAAACCACTAGAAAACTGGAAGTGGTGCTGTAGCTCAAGTGGTAGAGCGCTTGCCTTGAGCTAAAGAGCTGAGGGATAGCGCCCAAGCCCAGAGTTCAAGCCCCATGACCGACCAAAAAAAAAAAGGGGGACCATACTGCTTAGCATTACATCAGCAGTGTCCACTTAGATTTGTCTGGCATGTAGAATCCTGCCTGTGTGTTTTCACGGCTCTGGGCTGTTCCTTAATTCTCCCTGCCCTCGGGAAGCAGTGAAGCCCTGATCTCTGACATGGAGAGCTTTCTCTTGAGGCTACAAAAGGAGAGTTGGGGAGCCTAAGGGAACTCATATTGAGGGCATCATGAATGTAGACCCAACACAGGCTCTAGAAGCTACGATCTAAGGTATAGACAATGCCCAGGCTAGACAGAGGAATGTGGAACAGACACTAAATGTTAAACATAAATCCTAAAACCAGAATGATTTTCTCTTGACTTGTGGGCATAAAAGGACAAACACATTGTTGTCCACCAGCTTAAGGTGGAGGGTTATAAAAAACAACGACCAGGCTGGGACTGTGGCTTAGTGGTAGAGTCTTGCCAAGCATGCATGAAGGCCTGGGTTCGATTCCCCAGTGCCACATACACAGAAAAGGCTGGAAGTGGTGCTGTGGCACAAGTGGTAGAGTACTAGCCTTGAGCAAAAGAAGCTCAGGAACAGTGCCCAGACCAAGTTCAAGCACCAAGACTGGCAAAAACAAAACAAAACAAAAAACTCAAACTACCCACAGAAGACTGAAATCAGACCTGTGTTTTGTGAGAAAATGGGTTCAGGGCCATTGAAGGTGTGAAAGCCTGGTTAGAAATAATCTAGCCTAAGCCGGGCGCCGGTGGCTCATGCCTGTAATCCTAGCTACTCAGGAAGCTGAGATCTGAGGATCACGGTTCAAAGGCAGCCCGGGCAGGAAAGTCCATGAGACTCTTATCTCCAATAAACACTAGAAAACCGGAAGTGGCCTTGTGGCTCAAGCGGTAGAGTGCTCGCCTTGAGCTGAAGAGCGCAGGGACAGCGCCCAAGCCCAGAGTTCAAGCCCATGAGCGACCAAAAAAAAGAAAAAAGAAAGAATCTAGCCTTCCCAGTGACCACTTTTACCACTCGAATGGAGGGATGAATTCATGACAAAGAATTAAAAATCACATGGGTCAGGCACTGGTGGCTTACTCCCATCATCCTAGCTACTCAGGAAGCTGAAATTTGAGGAAAGTGGTCCAAAGCCAGCAAGGGCAGAAAAGTCTATAAGACTCTTATCTCCATTACCAAAAAAGTCAGAAGTGGAGTTGTGGCTCAAGTTAGCTATGATCACAAAACTTCAGAGACAGCACTTAAGCCCTGAGTTCAAGCCCCAGGACCATACATGCATGATTGCATGCGCATGTGCGCGCATCCACGCGCACACATGCGCACACACACACACACACACACACACAGAGACTTTGCCGCACATCTGCTTTTGCTTTTGTTTTTGTACTTACCAAATAAATAAAGATAGTTGGGTTCAGTTAACCTGGACAGTTTTGTGGCCTGATTCAAGATGTTATAAAGCTTTGTTGGTTCACAAAATAACAATTCAGAAGCCATCCTTCTAGGGGGAATCAAGAGTAAACAGTCAGGTTCAGCAGGGTTGGGGTTTTTTGGTTTTTGTTTTTGTTGGTCCTGGGACTTGAACTCAGGGCTTGGGCCCTGCCTCTAAGCCTCTTTGTGCTTAAGGCTAGCATTCTACCAATTAAACCATAGTGCCACTTTATTTGTGTGTGCCAGTCCTGGGGCTTGAACTCAAGGCCTAGGCATTGTCCCTGAGTTTCTTTTTGTTTTGTTTTGTTTTTGTTTTTTTGGGGTCCAGTCATGGGGCCTGAACTCTGAGCCTGGGCGCTGTCCCTCAGCTCTTCAGCTCAAGGCTAGCGTTCTACCACTATGAGCGCCACTTCCAGCTTTTTTCTTTTTGCTTATGTGGTGCTGAGGAATCGAACCCAGGGCCTCAGGCATGCAAGGCAAGCGCTCTACCACTGAGCC